ACTAGAAAATCCACTGTGTGGAGAACAGTCCTTAAGCATTATGGTTTTTCTTGTTTTTTAACATGATATTGTAACAACTGTTACAATACTTGATGCTCACAATACAAAAAAAATCTCTTCTGAAGCGAGTTCGACTCATGGCAGCTGATAGTTGTTGAAATCAGAAAAATTAAAGAAGTCACCGCTTCATTGCTGGAATATTAAAAGAAGATGTTGAAATAGGAAACAAAGCACTTGAAGCGGTTTCCTTAAAGGTTTCTGCAGTAATCTCCCCGTGTGCAGCAATTCTTAGGAACCTTTGAGCTTCTGCACCCACTTCTACGTACTTATGAAGCGCCTTGAGGCGACATTTGTTGTGATTTGGCGCTATATAAATAAAATTGAATTGAATTGAATTGAACATGTCATTGACATGCTGGCAGATAGTGACGCAGTCATGCCTCTAGCCTGGTCGCAACAGCATCGATGCATCTACTCTTGGATCTGCATGGTGTCAAGGAGAAGGGATATTTTTATTATGATCATTTCAGGCACATAGCTCTAAGCCCCACCCAACTGTTGGTTGAACGTTCTGTTTACAGGGGACAGCCAATCAGAAAGAAAGAAAGGGTGGAGAAGAGCTAAAAATGTTTCAGATACAGGATGAACTGAAGGTATTATTTTGAACTGAATACAAATATAGAGCATAATAAACATAATAGGTCCCCATTAAATGCCACTAAAACAGAGTGTTGGTTAATATTCTGGCCTTAATTGGCTAGGGGTTGTTTACACTCCAGTTATTCCACCCAAACTCACTACACAAACTGCGTGTCAACACATGTTCAGTCTCATGCATATAGCCATCAAGTGCATTTTAAAACAAGCCACGTAGCTGGTAGTTAGGATGCTAAAACTTGGTTTTGCAATCTCAAAAACTTTCAGATGTAAGTAACTATGCATTTCAATACATGTTTACTAATGTTCTATGCAAGAACGGAAAGCCAGCATGGACAGGATTTTAAGATAATTATAGGATTTTAATGCAAATATAGCTTATTGCAGATATATTTTATAGAAAAAGGTTTG